GGGGGGGGGGGGGGGGGGGGGGGGGGGGGGGGGGGGGGGGGGCGTGGAATGGGTACCTAGTGTTGCATGTTGTCATGTCTGACAAAAATGAGGTTCGGAAGGAACGTACATTGGCCACCTTCTGCCCGTCCGCAGGGTATCTGAAACGGGCGGTCTTCTGCAACGCTTTAATCAGGTGGCGGGTCATCTGGCGCGGCTCTTCCAATCAACGGACGCCCCCCACCCTTTGACAATCACAACAATGTCGCGTACCACTCGTGCTCCCCGAGGATGGCCAAAAAAGCACCATCGCATATGGTACCCCCCTGAAGTGCAGGAATTCACGAACAAAATAAGCACTATCCGCATGCATACGTATAGCCGGAAGATGATTAAGGAAATCACAACTAAAAAGGCGCTAACGCACCCATACGTTTCGCTTCTGCTCCCTGAAGCCCGGGAGTTCATGGAACAAAAAGCACTATCCGCATACACACACATCGCACTTATTCCCAAAGGATGGGGAAGGAGCTCACAAACCAAAAGAGCAACAACACACGTCGCACCTGTCCCCTGAAGTTCAGGAGTTCACACAAACAAGGATTATCGCACACATACATACATGTATCGCATCGCACCTGTTCCCTGAGGATGGTGAAGGAGCGCTCGTGCGTGGCGAGCCCGAGCATGATGAGGTCCGCGTCCAGGCCGTGCAGGATGTGGTGCTGGTTCGGGTCGTAGCCCGGCTGGGTGCGCTGCCGGCGCACGAAGTCCATGATTTTGTGCTCCCCCTCGCCGGGCTCGCTGGCGTCCGACAGTATCACCTTGAGAAGGGAGGGGGGGGAAGGGGAGGAGGGGAAGGGGAGGAGGAGGAGGAGGAGGATAGGTGATTTTAGAACCAGCGACACTGCTGCTGTCAACATAGCATGTTACCACGGATGAAAGCTGATTGTTGAATGTCTTTGTTGCTGCCGTTATTGTCATTTCTGTTTGTGCAGTCGTTTCTATGAGGAAACATACATACAAACACAGAGACTACCCCTTCAAGCCGTGTTTCCCGTCGTCGTCATCGTCGTTGCTGCTGCTGTTGCAATTGTCGCTGCCATGCCACGCTGCAATCTGAGGCATTACAGTGGGGAGTCCCAAAATGAAAAAATCGCTTGGCACAGAGGTAGAAAACCCGAGGTTCTTACATTCCTTCGCAAAATATTGTCGCCCTAGACAAGGCGGCAATCATCAGCTGCCACCACCGAGGTATTCGGAGATCTAGGAGCTCCCCACAGCTCTGCGGCAAGCACTCACCTTGATGTTCTGCCAGGCCTTGTCACGGTTGACCCTATCCTGCACGTAGAACCGCAGGTAGCGGGACAGTTTGTGCATGAACTCCGTACCCGGGGTGATGATGTTGCTGTCCCACGCAGGCTTGGCCTTAGGCGGCACCTAGTCGGTTCAATCCAACACAACACAGCAGCAGCAGAAGCAGCAGCAGCAGTAGCGAAAGTGGCATCAGCATCAGCAGCAGCAGCAGCAGCAGCAGCAGCAGCAGCAGCATCAGGAGCAGTTTCAATCGTGCGCGATGCAGCGGGCGGCAGGCAGCACGTGGAACCCAACCAACCGAGGTGTCTTCTAGTACACTTCACTTGCAGATCGCTAAAACCCATCAACCTCCAACTGCAACACCATCCACTTCCTCGTACCAATGTATTTGCGCGCTTCGTAGGACTGGCGCGCCTGCTCCCACTGTAGGCAAAATCCCGCTAAATATAAAAAATAAAGCACCGAACGTGTTCAAAAAAAGAGTCCTCGCATACAAGTCGTCATCGTGAGTGCGCAGCACGAGTTCCAAGCACACATCGCTGAAATCGGAAGAAAGCATCCCAAGGGAGATCTGTCCCATTGGATTCGGCTATGCATAATACTGTTGTTATCATCCCCTAATTTTCACCGCATGCGAAGGGCGTGCACTATGACGGTATGCACACCTCAGCGGTTCGTCGCACACGACTCCTGCAACAAAACCCTCAGTTAACTTCAGCCCGGCAAAACCTAACGGGATCGAGGACGTTCCCTCGCTCGCGGCTGACTTTTCTCCCGTGGCCGTGCCAATATTCGGCCTCACCCTAGCGCTATACCTTCATGCCCATCTCCTTCATGGCCTGGCGCGTCTCCTCCATCAATTCCGCTGCCTCCTCTGCCTCCTGGGCAGACCGAAACCGTCGCGAGCGCTGTTGGTTCATCTTCGCCCTGGGGGCCACTCCGTCGATGGCCAGATAGAGCAGCCGCCGCGGCCGGACCGCCGAGAAAAGTCTGCCCCCCCCGGAACAAAAAAAATAAAAAAAATAAAGCGTTGTTGCAAGTTTAGCGCAAAACCACCAACAAAATGATGGATTTTGTTGTGCTGTGATGTACTATTCATGAGATAAGAAGTAAATGATCAAGTAAACGTTCTTGCCAATTGAAGCCCGTGAGACGCGCTCTTGGCAAGAAGACTGGTGCTGTTGCTACGCAAGCTCTTAGTGCCCCCCTCTCCCCCGCCCCCGGACGGGTCCCTTTCATCGAGAGAAGAGGCAACAGGCCCTTACAAACTGTGCAGAATCTGACGGCGGCGGTGAAACCATTTGTACAAAAGGTCGAGAACAAAATATATAAAATCCACTGTGGTTGAATCTCGAGGACCGCCTACGCAGGATTTGAAGAGTATCTAGAAAAATGATAGGGAGAGGGTACGCAGACCCTATCCCTAACCCTAACCCTCGAACGGTTATTCCCTCGTTCATGGTACTTGAAGTATATATATTTCCCAAACGACACATGGTGTAGGATGGCGGGGTGGATACGGAAACATGACAAACATACCGGTCTATGTAGTCCATGATGTTCTTGTACATCTCCTCCTCGCTCTCCGGGGGGGGCTTGTCCTCAGGGTGAGAGCAAGGGTGGATGATGCCGTTCATGTCGATATAGAGGTTGTCGAACTGAAAAGAGATGGTTGGCAGACAGGCACAGCACGAGAGACACACCACGCGAAGGTGGCGCGACAACAATGAGTGTCATATGGGTATCGAAGGTCGAAGACGGCACACCCAAGAGGGTCAGCCATCTCCATAGATTACCCTCCTCCTCAAAAATAGTAATATATCCTGGACTCACGTGATGATCGAGATGAATTTCTTTGCTAGTTGCAAGAGATGGAAGGCTGAAGAGGGAGCAGCTGTAACTTGAAGATGGCGAGACGTTGGTACTGCTGCGGAGCTGGCTACCAGCGGAGGGGATGCAGCAGCATATGTAGCACACGGCGGGATGTGTTACGGAGAAATGAGCTACCCCAGCCGAGTCTGGGCGCGCCTGTTGACATTTTTTCGGTTTTCGGTACGTGCCCCCCGAACGGTTGGACGGTGTCTACATCTTCTCACAATCACAAACAAAATCTAAAATCTTCAGTGTGTGAGGCAACGTGCGAGGAGTTGATGAGTTAATCCAGATCGCGCCTGATGTTCAAAGTTCCGAGCTTGTCGTGAACCGGCACCAGTTGCTGTTGATATATTCTATACTTTTCCCCTTCTCGCTATGCCGCTGTTCGCGAATGCCCAGAAACACAGAGGATGGCGTCCCAGTGGGGGGAGAAATGCACTGACAGCACGCGAGCTACACACGCACGAGCGGGACGGAGATTGCGCGTTGATTGCGCGAAACTAGAGTGCCGCCGTTGTGATACGGTGAGCAAAAGAGGTACCGGTTGGGGAGGTGGTCGCTAAGTAGCTCGCACAGGCGGTCAGATCAACGCGAGGTACAGGAACAATCGACCCCAAGGACCAACGATACAGGAGCAGCGGTGTTCAAGTGCGTAACACACAACGGCCGCCCGTTGCGAACCATCGCGCAACGTTGCCGTAACGAGGGAGAGGCTCATGGCCTGGTACTCTTTACTAGGAAAAGGTTAGGCGGTGCCATGGCGATGCCGGTTGTGCGGGATGTGAGCCACACAGACAGAGAGAGGCGTCCGCGAAAAACTCAACAGCAGGCATTGTTCGTCGAGAGCTTTGCAGATCGAAGTGCATGGTACTATCGATGTCGTAGCAACACGTGACGGCGGAAGCCAGTGCCCTTCCTGCTGCTGCTCGTACTGCTTTCTATTGGGGCGGGCGCCTTGGGTTGCAACTACATACCTCGTCGGAAAATCGTGAGAGAGCTGCACTCTCTCTGGAAGTTGGAGCAGAGACAAAAAAGGGACGATGTACCGCACACTCCGCCTTTCCCCACACCGCCTACGCACGGAAGCCTTGGCTCCCTCGCAGAAATCAAGAGGAGAGGAAAAAAACATGGTACCGTCCCCTTGCAAAGCGGCCCAAGGTGTTGTGTACGCACCTCGATGCCATTCGGGTTCTCCGCCGTGAGGTCGAGGGGAATCTCCGTCCCGTCCACCCGAGCCGCGTGGTCCTCCAGCATGTCCACCACAATCTTCGGATACTTCTCGCTCAGCCATCGGTAGAATGCCGGGACTCCCATCGTCCTCCTCCCTCTTCGGCCTCCTCGCCGCTGCCTCTCTCTAGCGCCGCTGGTCTGCCGTCGCCCAAGCAAGCAACCGCAGCAGGGCGCCCGCGACACCCAAAACACAGGGGCCCCTCAGATGATATTCGAATGGGGTTATCGATGTACCCTAGGCACTGAGGGCACGTCGCACACGTACTTGTGGTGAGTTTATAGGCTTAGAGCCTGGCGTGTCTTTCAAAATGGTGTATATATATATATATATTTAAAGCGGGGACGACTACTAGACCCCGAGTTGGGGGAGTTTTTTCCGCGCGCACCATCACAACAGCATAACCCGTGCTGCGTAAAGTAACCTGCAGTAGGCTGGGTCTTGCGCCCCCCGTGAATATGTGTTGCTTTTGTTTTGGTACACACACCCGAAATGTTGTTGATGCGATGTTGTTGATGCGAATCGTTGTTGTCAGCACTCCGTATGTATGGGTTAATAAATGAAGCAGAAAAAAATGCCCCACCACTCAAGAACTCAGCAGCAGCAGAATATTTGAACTAGCACGCGAGTTGTCGCCGATCGCGATCCGCCGTAAACTGGACACGGCTTGTCTCCTGCGATCCTCTTACGCATGCGATTAATCAGCTTAGCTGCCTGGTTGGAATCGAGACCGTGCTAACCTCGACCAGAGTCGGTCCACCTCAGAGCGCGTGGGTCTCTGACTGCCGGCCATTCCCCGGAGGACGGGACCGCGCCCCCGTAGCCGCTCGGAGCCAGTGTGTGGCTACGGCGGCGAGACTGCTTGCGTGGGCGGTGGACGTAGGCAGGGGAAATGGAACGAGGGCCGGGACGGCGGTCGCGGGGAGCCGGGCGGGGTGGTTCAGGATCAATGTGACCATCACTGTCGCTGCTGCTGCTACCACTGCCGCTGCTACTATCGCTAGGCGAAGGCGAAGGGTTGCGCGGGCGAGAATGTTTGTGCTTTCGGCTACGTGAGCGCTCGCTACGGGAGCCCTTGTGGCTACTCGAACTCGTGGGGCGACTGGAGCTTTTGCGACGACTTGATCGCTGGGAGCCGCCGCGAGGGGCTCCACCCTTGTCGTCGATGCTTCCGCCCGCGGCAGATTCGTCCTGGGCACGAGCACGCGTCCTACGGCTCCGCGAGCGGCCCCGCCCACGGCGGTGACCATCGATGGTCACCGCGCTGTTCGGCTGCCCTGCGGCTACCGTCCTCGCCGAGAGCGGGGGCCTCGGCCTCCTCGCTGGGACTCCGGCTCCAGCTGCGGCTCCGGTGCTGGCTGCCGTCCCGCCGGGCGGCGCGCGATCCGCCATCGTCGGCAAGGGAGCCGGGCAACGGCAACCGCCTCTCCCCAGCACCCCGGCGACGTACCGGGAACGAGTTGTCCATATCGACGGAGCCGGCAGCACCCCCCGACAACACCTGATGGTTAGAAGAGGACATCGCTGCTAGTGCGAGACAGACGGGGAACGAGTCGTGTGAGATACAATGTGAAAGGAGTAGAATCAATGCAAGGGCAGCAAGCACGGGTTACAATGCGAGCATGGAAGACAAGAAAATACAAAGGAGCAGCAGTTGCAATGATATCAAGGGGGAACAGTGTATGAAACAAATTGGAAAATGTAGCACGAAAAACTGGTTCAACTAGTACAATGGATAACACCTAAACGGCAGCAAGAAAAGTGCTTGCGCACAGCAAAAGCGAATGTCACTAGGCGTAAAACTCGAATGCAGAAAAGCGACAGCATAATCACGGAACAGTCGGGTGCTCCCTGCGCGCCATAGAAACGCTGGGCTCAGGCAACAGCAGTAGGGATAATGCGGTCGACACTACGAGAGAGGTGACTGTATTGTATACACAGAGCGAGTAGTTTTTCGATGCATTTATGAATCTTATATGTTTCCTGCTCATGTTAGGGCTTATGAATTTTTTTGTAACCGACATCACAGTACTTAAAACCCCAAAAAAACACCAAGGATTAAATATCAGGTCCCCATATCTTTGTGGTTGATGGACAAAATAGCCACCGAGAACAAAAGCTAGTTTAAAGCTGACCTAAAAAACCGAACAAGAAAAAATAAGATTTTGAAGCAATTTATTTGATATCAATCCTGCTGTAGGACACAAGCTAATTATCAAAAGGAAAGGCCTAACCCGACTTAATAATTCAATAGAAAAATGACTAGGGCCAAGTGTTTGGGGTGTCGGCGCGTGTACTATGTTATCACGCTCGCGGGCTCTTGTCGAGAGCGTGTTGCACAAAGGAGTGACTCAAGTTCCTTGATTAACTATTAACGAGTGACAAGCATGAGCAGCAGGCAAGAAGGACCTGCTGCTGCACACACGTCTGCATATACCCAAACATATCATATCTGCGTACCCCCTCGGATATCTCGGAGATCTGTATCCTGCCGAGTACATACACAAACAGCCCCCCTACTCGGTACGAGATACGATCTACGAACTCCTCCGTACATATATCGCCAAGTAAAACGGCAACAATTCAAACCATTCACCTTTTGTATCCACAAATCATCTCAACTCCCGGATCTATCGAATACTCAAATTTCAGGTTACTCCTTCTTCTTATGACTATGGAACTTCACTAAGAGTCTTAACAAGCACCCCTCTCGAGAAAACGTCGTCACCACATTCTCAAGCAGTCAAAAACAAAGAATCATACTTGGAAAAATACTTGAAAATTATCAACATTACATCAGAGCCACGTCATAAAGACTCTGGACGGACAACTTTGTTTGGCAAAACGCGTCAACAAATACCTCGAACAAAATTCTCGCACAAGACTGTGTTTCAACTCATTGACCAATGTAAAATAAGCTTCGGAAGCACACAGGCCTCAACCATGTCTTACCAAAATATGCCAAATCCTTCCTCCAGTACATCGTTCAGAACCACCATCAATACCAAATACATACGGCAAAAACAGACAAAGGTTAAAAACCCGGCGGTCGAAGACGCCAGAGGAAACTTTCACCAATTATGCCGTTTCTCAAACATCAAGACATGGATTTCTTAACAGCCCTCCTGCTGCAGTATCTCCCAAAACATAAAAGCTTAACTGCCCCCCTGCTGCATCATCTCCCAAAACACAAAAGCTTAACAGCCCTCCTGCTGCATCATCTCCCAAAACACAAAAGCTTAACAGCCCCCCTGCTGAAATAACTCCCGAAACAGAAAATGCAAGCCATCCAGTATTTCGTCTGGATTGCAAGAAACAGAATACAAAACATATACCGATTGACGACTCCCCTTCGACATATCTCCGACCATGGAACTCAATCCGTCCTATAGCAATACATGCAAGGCACAACTCTCGAATACTAACAACGAGAAAACAAACAAATATCATGACCTTATCTCCGAAAGCCGCAGGTAAAACGCGGAATCGGAAACAAACAAGAAATTCTCATTTTCCGCAGGTAAAACGGGGAAAACGTTTACAAAATGAACAAAAACCAAACCCGAACGTCTGCTAGAACGCTGCTTGTACTGCGACGAGGATCATGGCATCACAATCACATTCATCCCCCCCCATGATTTTCGACAGCAGTGCCAGCAAAACACACAAACAACATTAAGAAAAATCGAACAGCAGCCAAAATAAATGCCGCCAAACATAAACATGACACAAACAGCCCAACCAAGAAGGTCTCAAAGGTTCATGACAAAGTTGCGGTGTACTGAAAACGCCTCCTTGGGCAGTGGTTTCGTAAGAAAGTCGGCGTGCTGCAAATGCGACGGGACATAAACGACCTTGAACTCCCCCCGGTCAACACGCTCCCGAATAAAATGGTGGCGGACGTCAATGTGCTTGGAGTTGGGGGTGGTGGCAGGGTTGTTGGCCAAATGAAGCGCCCCGACATTGTCCTCCTTGATCACAGTGCACCCTACATCCCCATCCGGAGAGATAAAACTCCAGAGATACCGCAAGAAAATCGCCTCCTTCATGCCATCGGCCATCGCAGCGTACTCAGCTTCCGTAGAAGACAGCGTGACGCTCTTCTGAGTCCGAGAGAAGAACGACACGCAGGACCCCGCACACATGACAACACCTCCCGACACAGATCGCCTGTCCGTCGCTTTGCTAGCGTAGTCCGAATCCACGTACACCTCCAAGCTAACACCACCTGCCGTACCCCGCTGTAATGTAATACCGTACGCACGCGTGCATCTAATGTACATCACCATGTGCAACGCAGCCTTCCAGTGCACGGACTTGGGCGCGTAAGAATACCGCGCAACAGCCCGGACGGCGTTGAGGATATCCGGGCGAGTTTGATTCGCAAGCCACATCAAGTGCCCCACCAAAGAACGGAACGGCTCTTCAACGTCGGGTTCACACGCATCAAACTCCTCAAGCTTCACGCCAACGGCCATGGGGGTTTCTTTGTTACGGGTGACACCAAACTTCGCGACCATGTTGGTGGCGTACGTCTGTTGAGAAAGCGTAATGGTGCCCTGAGCAAAATCACGCGAAAAGCGAATACCAGCGTACAAGCGAAGTTCTCCAAGGTTGGTGATGGGAACGTACTCGTTCAAGTCCCTGCCAAATTGCTCACACCGACTCTTCTTCCCGATGGAAAAAATGTCATCGACATGGACGACAACAACCATGGCGACAACCCCCTCTTCGATCAAGCGCATGACGCAAGCATCGGCAGCACACTGTTCGAAACCCAGACACTTCATGCCCCTCACCAAGTGTTTATGCCACGTGCGGGATGCTTGCTTCAAGCCGTAGAGACTACGACGGAGACGAACAATCTTACCAGAAAGAGCACCGCAGCCCTGCGGCAGACGGAGGTACACACACTCCACCAACTCTGATTGAACAAACGCCTGCTCCGCGTCGAAATGACACAAGTCCAAACCCAACTCACACGCAAGAGCTGCTAACAAACGGATACTAGTGACGGACGGGCACGGGGAGAAGGTTTCAAAGAAATCAATACCTTCACGTTGACCGAAACCGCGAGCCACCAACCTCGCCTTTGCACGCACAGCACGGCCATACTCGTTCCCCTTCCACGCGCAAACCCGCTTGGCCGTGATCACGTTCATTCCTCGTTGCTACTCCCCCGCCGCCATCGTCTCGAACGTCCCCGCCGCCGAAAGCCCAGCAATCTCCTTGCGCTCCGCCGCACGCCAAATGACATCATGCGGTCCGGCATGGGCTTGCTTGTACGTTTCCGGAGTCTCCAAGTCGGCAACCAAACCATTTGGCAACGCGGGGTCATCGATGTCAGCTGTGGGGCCACTGAGAGAACGGGTCATCTGCTCATCCGCCGCCAGCAGCGCGAAAGCACCTGGCATACCGGTTCTGCGAGACCCCGACCTCGTGACGGCAGGCGTCACCTCGTGCTGCTGCCGGTGAGTCATCCTCCGCTCGGGTGGTGCGTGGTATATGTCAGCCCAATCTAGCTCCACCGCCGCCGTCACGGGATGGTAACCTGCCGTTGCCCCCACCACCGGTGCCGCCGCCCCATCCGAGAGAATCTCCGTCCCCGCCGCTACGCCAGCACCCGCCGTGGGGATGATCACCGCTCCCGCCGCTCCAGCTGCTGTCGATGTCTCCGTTCCCGCCGCGAGGGCCTGCGCCCCGGCCGCCTCCCCCACCGCCGCCGGGGG